TTTAGTCTGCAGAAGAGAAGAATGAGGGGGGATTTGATAGCTGCTTTCAACTACCTGAAAGAGGGTTCCAAAGAGGATGGCTCTAGATGGTTCTCAATGGTAGCAGATGACAGAACAAGGAATAATGGTCTCAAGTTGCAGTGGGGGAGGTTTAAGTTGGATATTAGGAAAAACTTTTTCACTAGGAGGGTGGTGAAGCACTGGAATGGGTTACCTAGGGAGGTGGTGGAATCTCCTTCCTTAGAGGTTTTTAAGGCCCGGCTTGACAAAGCCCTAGCTGGGATGATTTAGTTGGGAATTGGTCCTGCTTTGAGCAGGGGGTTGGACTAGATGACCTCCTGAGGTCCCTTCCTACCCTGATATTCTATGATTCAGAGAGAGCTAGAAACAATATATTGCTGTGAGCTCTCTAGCCAGCCAGTGCTCCTGCCCCATTTCCTATGGGGCTTCCTGCTTGGAGAACACATGGCCAGAGTAGCTCTGAGCAGCCTGCCCCTGATCCATTCCAAACAGTGAAATCCTGTCGGGACTGGGTTGGGACAGCTCTTTGTAGCACTTTGTGCATGTAAACCTAGGGTATGTTTTCCACATGGAGAGATTGTTACTGTAGTGTTATCTGTGCCGGTAGAATGTGAAATGTGTTTATTTTCTGTTTAAACAAGCTGCCAGCAATATCTGAATCTGCCTGTTCTCTTCCCCTTACAGAACTCCTCCAGGTCTGCAGCTTCAGTGACTTGGACTGATCAGATTAACGGGAGCGCCTCACAGTGGGAGGAAAAATCTGAATGCTTCATTCCTTGTAGCGTTCTCAGCACTGAACTCTAGCTAGCTGGGGTCCCACTGCTGCTGTCTCTTCCCCCCCTTTAACTCACCATTGAAGAGGTGCCTAGCCTGTTCTCATGACGTTTGACTCCCTGCTGTCACCAGAGCAAGAAATAAAATCTCAGAGTCTAACATTGGGCTTGCTGTGATTCAGTTTGAAATTCTCCTTTGCATTTGGAGTCTCAGCTATTACAGAATGCTATCAAATACACAGAATAGCACAAGCCGGCCTCACAGAAATGTACATATTTATTTTTCAGTGTGTATTGTGTGCCTATCGTATTTCTTTGGAAGCACTATATAGCTGCTATGGTAATACAAATAATAATAATACATACCCAGAATAACCCAAACCAGTAGAGCTTATTCAGCACCAAACCTTAGATACCAAGTGGAACCAGTCAGAAACATTGAGCTGCAATTTCCACTAATGCTACATGACCAGCATTTCTGATGCAATAGGTTGGCACCTGTAAGCAGCAAATAAACATAGTTCACTGCATAGAAAATTTAGATTGTGTGCTTTTCCAGAAGGACAATTGTATCGAACCAGCTAAAACCTCCGAAGTGTTGACACATCAACTCTCTCAGAGAATGCATGCTCCGACCAGTCAAGTACCCTTCTTGGCTACTCCCGGACTGCTGTGTGAGGATCTAGCAACTGAATCCCTGAGGGCTTTCAGCCTCCAGAGTTGGAACAGAGCCCAGGCACTGCCCCTATCTTCGGGTCCCTAGGCACACTCTTGGGGTGCACTCCCCCACCCCAGTAGCTGACACTATTCTCACAGGAGGGGTAGGGGGGTTAACCTGTTCTGGTAGGTAGGAACAGGTAACGTGGGGCAGAGAGAGCAAGGAGGGTTCAATAGGGGGTGGGGGGGCCTCAGGGAGGCGGTCGGGGTGGGGAGCAGGGGAGATTGGATAGGGGATGGGCGTCCCGGCGGGATGGTCAGGGGACAGAAAGCAGGGGTGTTTGGATAGGATGCGGGAGTTCCGGGGGGCTGGACAGGGGGCAGGGGCCAGGCCACGCCTCGCTGTTTGGGGAGCCATAGCCTCCCCCAGCCTTCCTTACCTGGCCCTCCATACAATTTCTGTACCCGATGTGGTCCTAGGGCCAAAAAGTTTGCCCATCCCTGATCTAGGAGAACATTAGCCAACCCCTTCTTGCAGCAGCTCTGATTGGTTGTTCTGCCACATGGAAAAGTAGGGCAGGGACCAATCATAGGGCTAAGATTTGCTAGGGGGCTGTGGCTTCTTAGCACCAGACTGGGCCCAAGCCCCGCCTAAATCTGGTTCACTTGTGAAAAAGTTGCATGAGGTAGTAACACTGCAGACAAGTAGGAGGAAGTATCTTCTCCCAGCTCCGGCCAACCTGCTTAGCATATCTGTTGGCCAGTCAGCATACAGCCATTAAAGTTAAGGGTCATATCTGCTTAGGGTGACCCGAATTGGGTGGGACAGTCTCAAAATGCAGCGTTCAAGTCCTGGGCTGAATGACTCCAGGACGGTATTTGTCCCAGCTCTGCACCTGCCTGAGGCTCAGAGGAAGCGCCAGTCTCACCCCTGCTCCTCCTCTTCCCCATAGGCCCCGCCTACTGGCCAGGCCAGAAGCTGGATCTGGGCCGTGGTAAGAGCCACCCAGGGAGCCTGGGCCACTGTGGAGAGCCCTGGACCCTCCACCAGCCCTGGATAGCACACTTGTTATTTCTAGTGCAGCCCAGCTTGCTTCAGACTGAATCCTAAAAGGGCTTACAAAGTGCAGTCAGGTTAAGCTACCTTGCTGAGCAAGAGTGCTGATCTGTAATTTATAGCAGTGCTCTTAAAGTACAGGATATTTGACTCAGGGGCTTCAGTTTCAGAGTTCCCTTTGGATTATTTAAACACTAGTTTGGGATTTTTTTAGGGCCCGTATGTCCTGGTTGTCCCCACTGATCTGGGCCAGTGTTGCTAACACTTGTGATTGGTTGGAGTTTTCCCCAAAGCCCCAACTGCTACAGTCAAGAGACTGTGTGAAAAGTAACCTCAGCTTTCATTAACAAAAAAAGGAAACGTATAGGTCTGATGTTTGCAGAGAAAAACTTGAAAAAGCTTAGGTGTGCCTCCTAGAGTCTGTGCAAAAGAAGGCATAGAAAAAGAATCCAAAATTTATTATTTAAAAAAACCTCAAGATTTTTAAGCCCATGATTTCTGGGGGGCCCTGCCTCATTATTTTTGAAAGCTTTGAGGTCAGTAATTCTGAAATCAGATCATAAATGGCCAGTTTTTACTTTGCAGAGTGACAGCATGTTTTCAGGCCTCTGTGTATTCTCAGACAGGCACCTTTTCTCTTTTTAGTAGCGCGTGATGCTTTAACTGCATGGACCTCTCTCACCCAACTCGAGTACAGCAGTTGCTTGACCGGGAACAGAAGTAGGCTTGTAACTTGGACCCCTTGTTTACTGTAGCTCTCCATGTACATATTTATTAAGAAAACTATTGGTCTGAGTATTAGGAGAACAGGAGTTAGTGAGCTGGAGAGGAATCATGGAGAGTAGCCTCTGCTTTGCTAATTTACATCTCAGGCGTACTTAATGATTTTAGCTTCTACGAGCAGCAGCTTGCTGAGGTGTTATTTTTAGAGGAGCAAGCCCTATGTGTTAAAAACCAGTACCATCAAATGTGAGTAATTTCAAATGGATTATTTATATCCAAAAATTCACTACATATCTAGAAATTTAGTAGGGGCCCTGTGGAAAATATAGTTCTGTATGTACTCATGTAATTAGAGACAATATACAAACACAAGGGGGCACACTTCAGGTTGCTAAACAGCCTTAATCCTGACCTTTCCTAACTTTTGAGTACTTGACTTTGCAATGCTAATAATGTTCTCTTAATGCCATTTTTTATATGGAATATACTATGTAATATGTAGAATTCAAGAATGCAGCAGCAGGCTGATTAAGGATTAATATTTTCCTTACTCCCACAGTGCTCCATATAACTGCCTGTTTAGCTGTGGAGC